TCGTCTTGTTTATAGTTTCCTTTGCTGTGCAAAAGCTTTTAAGTTTCATTAGGTCCCATTTGTTTATTTTTGTTTTTATTTCCATTACTCTAGGAGGTGGACCAAAAAAGATCTTGCTGTGATTTATGTCAAAGAGTGTTCTTCCTATGTTTTCCTCTAAGAGTTTTATAGTGTGGTCTTACATTTAGGTCTCTAATCCACCCTTTAATTTTTTTATAATAGCCATCCTAATGGGTGTGAAATTGTATCTCATTGAGGTTTGGATTTTCATTTCCTAATGACTAGTGATGTTGAGCATCCTTTCACATGCTTATTGGCTATTTATATATCTTTGGAGAAACGTCTATTCAAGCCCTTTGTCCATTTTTTATAAAATATATTTATTTATTTATTTATGGCTGCGTTGGGTCTTCGTTACTGCACGCGGGCTTTCTCTAGTTGTGGCGAGCGGGGGCTACTCTTTGTTGTGGTGCGCGAGCTTCTCGTTACGGTGGCTTCTCTTGCTGCAGAGCACGGGCTCAAGAGCGCAGGTTCAGTAGTTGTGGTGCATGGGCTTTGTTGCTCTGTGGTACGTGAGATCTTCCTAGACCAGGGCTTGAACCCATGTCCCCTGTATTGGCAGGTGGATTCTTAACCACTGCACCACCAGGGAAGTCCCCCTTTATCCATTTTTGAATTGTGTGGTTTTTCGTTGCTGAGTTGCAGGAGTTCTTTATTTTTCTGGATACTAGACCCTTATCTGGTATATGTATTTGCAAATATTTTTCTCCTATTCTATGGCTTATCTTTTTACTCTCTTGATCATATCTTTTGATGAAGTCCAATTTATCTATTTATACTTTTATTTCCTGTGTTTCTGGTGTCATATCTAAGAAATCATTTCTGAATCCAGCGTCATGAAGATTTTCTCCTGTTTTCCTCTAAGAATTTTATAGTTTTAAGTCTTATGTTTAGGTCTTTGATCCATTTTGAGTTGTTTTTTTATATCGTGTAAGGTTAAGTATCTGACTTCATTCATGGGGATGTGCAGTTTTCCCAGCACATTCCCATTGAATGGTCTTGGCCCCCTCCTGGAAGTCAGTCTCATTCTCTTGTAAATGACAGAGGTGATGTAACGCTCTGACAGAATGTTGGAGAACTGGGAGGACAGTCATGATTCCCATCCCTTCTCACCTGACGACTTGTTGCATAATCACGGGCTTTATTTTTCACTTGATGTCTGTCTGTTTTTTTAAATGGATATACAGTTGACCCTTGAACAATGCGGGTGTTAGCGGCACTGACTCCCCTCCCCCCAGCGACTGAAAATATGCATATAACTTTACAGGCCACTCTCGGTATGCGTGGCTTCACATCCTCCAATTACGTAGTACTGTAGTACGTATTTATTGAAAAAAGTGTGCTTATAAGTGGACCTGCGCATTCAAACCTGTGTTGTTCAGGGATCAACTACTCCTGTTTTGTATCTTGCCTTTTTTACCTTATACATATTGCTACATATGATGATTTTGCAAGACTTCATGTAACTACATACGTTAAGTGGCTCTGCTACCATAGTGGATTCTGGTGCCCTGGTGGTTTTTACCATCGTGATTAACGTTGTAGAGCACATCTTTGCACGTAGGCCTTTTCCTCAGGCTGAATGCCTCAGTGTAGAATTGCTGTCTGAAGGGGTCTGGGCACCTGCACGATTTTTGCTACATGTTTGCCGTCTAAAACTATTGTACCCATTTGTAATAGGCATTGTTGGGTATATGAACCACACTGGGTGTTACTGAAACAGTTGTCATAGATGAACACCATTCCTCTCTTCTTGAATTTGCTGCTTCATTCAACAGATCTTTGAGCTCCTTCCATATGCCAGGCCCTGTTGAGATGCTGGGGATCCACTGGTAGAGCTAGAGCTCCCGTCCTCAGAGAGCTTCCCTTATTAGGGGCTGAGAGAGCTGAGAAACAGATGGACACATGGACATGTCTAGTGGTTGAAAGGCCGTGGAGAGAACATAGGTAAAGGGCACAGTGTCTCAGGCTGGGGCAGAGCTGGGCTGGGACCAAGGCAGTCAGGGAAGGAAGGAAGGCCCCGCTTAGTGCCGTGTGGGCTGAGGGGGCATCTGAGGGGCCGGGAGAGTGGTCCAGGTAGAGGCTTGAGATGGATAGAGAACACTTGTCTCTGTTTAGGGAGAACAAAGAGCCCCTGTGGCTGGAGGCACAGAAGGCAGGAAGGTAGGAGGGCAGGAGGACCCGTGGCGCCAGCTCAGCCTGTCCTCTGAGTGAGTGTTGAGTGATCTGGGTTCTGATCCAGTCGTCCTGGCTGCTATGGAGACAGATTAGGGGACCTGTTGGGAGGCTCTGACAGGATCCCAGCAAGAGAAGGTGGTGGCCTGGATCAGAGTGGGGGGCAGTGGAGTTGGGGTAGGGGGGAGGCACTCGATTCTGGTATTTATTTTATTGATGTATAGTTGATGTACAGTATAAGTTACAGGTGTGCAATATAGTGATTCATAATTTTTAAAGGTTAAACTCCTTTTAAGGTTATTATAAACTATTGGCTATATTCCCTATGTTGTACAGTATATTCTTACAACTTATTTAATTCATTAATTTATTTATTTTTGGCTGCGTTCGGTCTTCGTTGCTGTGTGCGGGCTTTCTCTAGTTGCGGCTAGCGGGGACTACTCTTCATTGCACTGCGCGGGCTTCTCATTCTTCTCATTGTGGTGGCTTCTCTTGTGGCGGAGCGTGGTCTCTAGGCATGTGGGCTTCAGTAGTTGTGGCACGCGGGCTCAGTAGTTGTGGCTCTCAGGCTCTAGAGTGCAGGTTCAGTAGTTGTGGCACACAGGCTTAGTTGCTCCGTGGCATGTGGGATCTTCCCGGACCGGGGCTCGAACCCGTGTCTCCTGCATTGGGCAGGCAGATTCATAACCATTGCGCCACCAGGGAAGTCCTTGTAACTTATTTTATACCTAATAGTTTGTACCTCTTACTCTCCTATCCCAATATTCCTCCCCACCCCCACCCCCCTGCCACTGGTAACCACTAGTTCTCTATATCTGTGAGTTTGCTGCTTTTTTGTTATATTCACTAGTTTTCTGTATTTTTTAGATTCCACATTCGATTCTGGGTATGTTTTGAGGGGAGAGTGGACAGGATGCACTGATGGATTGCATGCAGGGGGAGAGAGAAATTGAAAATGACTCGTGAGTTTTGACTTGAGTAGATGGAGGGGTAGAGTAGCTCTTTACTGAGAGCAGTGGAGGAAATAGGGAACATCAAGAATCATACCTTAATACAGTTTGTAATTTGCTTTTCTTTAAATGTGAGTCCACTTCAACATTTTCATGTGTTTATTCTCTGTCTCTACTGGCTCAGAGTATTTGTAAGTTTAACGTTTAGTCTGAATAGCACGGAACAAGGAATCCACCACATTCCTCTGGCTCTGGTCAGACCAGGAGAACGCCCTGCCCTTAGAACTGGAGCCTCGAGCAGGCCGAGTGCCACGCATGAAGGAGGGGATGCTTCCACGAGTTTCTTTTCAGGAACTCATGGTGTCCTTCCTGAAAAAGGTCAGGGTTTGGGGTCAAAGAGCCCGGCTACCTTATTTGGGCTACCTGGGCCTGGCGTTTGGCCTCAGTGGGGAGGGTGGTTGCCACCAGGCCTCTCTGGAGAACTGGCTTCAAGGGAGCAACACTGACCGGAGCTGGAAGGCCACTGCCTGTGCCCGAGCATCGCAGTCTGCGTTTGTGTGGCAGCTATGATTTCAGATATGCTGTCCTTTTTGTCCCTATAAGTCAAAGGGGGGAACAGACCTTCATAAGTGCTTCTTACCAAGAGGGGTGGAAGGTGTGTAGCGTCTGTAAGCCCAGGTCACCAGGTGACCTGGATGGCAGGTGTGTATGGGGGGAGTGCCCAGGTGTGCCGCCCCCCTCCCGCCGGGGTTTCCTGTTCCATGAAGGGTGGCATCTGGTGGCAGATTTCTCTTGGTCTCTGGTGCTTCTGAGGAGTCCTTTTTGCCTTCACGGGTCTTGAGGACAGAGGTGCAGGCGGTGGGGAAGCTGGCCTGGTAGAAGGGGGGGCCCTTTGGGGAAGAAGCCGTCCATGTGTCCCTCCTCCTGCAAACCAAGGAGCTGACTCTGCAGAGATGGGGCCCTAGGCTGCAGAGTGGGCTGTGGTCATCGGAGGGCTGTTGCCTGGACAGGAGGGAGGGGTTCAGCTCGGAACTGCCCCACCCGCCTCATGAAGCAGGAGTGGTGGGCATGATGCTGCCTCAGGGCCAGAGAGGCGCTGTGTGCTGAGTGTGGTCTTGAGTTTTTCTCCCTAGTAGTAGAATTTAGAGGTTTTTCTGTGGCTTAAAGCAAAGTCTTCCAGTATTTTATTGTGAACACTTTTGAACAGAGTAGAAAAGTTGAGAGAATTGTTACCCACACACACTGCTTGAGTGACCAGTTATTAATGTTTCCTCGTATCTGCTTTGTCTCTGTGCATATGTACAGACTCTCCTCTGAGCCACTGAAAGTACATAGCAGACATTATGAAACTTCACCCCTAAACACTTCAGTCCACATCTGAGCACATCTGGTTTGTTGTCATCTCATCTGGCCATGGGGTGCGTTAGCACTGCTTCCTTGTTTCTGCCCTCAGTTTAGTATTTTTAAAATGTGAGGTGTGACGTTCCAGTTCTGAAAAGGAATAAAGCCAGATCAGCCTGTCAGGTCTCCCACGTCGTTCACCGCTACCCTGTCGATCTGCACTTGGCATTTCCTTTGCTCCACGAGTCCATGACCCTGGACAGTGTAGAACATGTTTTGCATGTTTTTAAACTTCCTGTAATTGTTATAGCTTTATTGTTCCCCTCTGTGAACAGGCTGCTGTTAAATGAGAATGACGTAGGTGTAAATAAATACCTGGTCCTATGCTGGCAGGGGGTGGAGATTCAGTAAGTACTATTTTATTTCTTACCTAATAGGTGTTGAGAAGACAGTTCTGGATGTTAAAATGGGCAGACAGTCAAGTTGGTGGGAAGTAGACCCTGCTGCCTGCCCAGCTCTGACCTCAGAGAATCCTGGCCTCATTCCAGGGCAGGAGGACATCTCAAGGCCTCAGGGACCTCCTTCGTGGTATGTGCCAGGAGCTGTGGCAGCCACTCCAGCCTTTCCTCTCCCTTGCCTCCCCCAGCCCAAGGGGGTGCTCTGTGCCTGCACCACTAAGGGGAAAGGGGATGGACAGGGCTGGGCTCCTGCCTGGAGGGAGCTTTCTGCTGGGCTTCCTTACCCTGCTGCACCCTCCTCGCTGCCTGGGTGGCAGAGAAGTCATCTGGGCTGGTGGGATTGCTAGGAAACATTCGAGAACATGAAGGGAGAATTTGGCAGGGCTGTGAGAAGCCTTCAGATGAAGGAATCACCTGAGGGTAGTCCGTGCTTGTCTGGGCTCCTGCCCAGGCTTCTGTGAGGCTGATAACCTGCCCCTGGCTCCTCGTGCCAGCCTTGGGACACCGACCATCACCTCTCTTCTTCGAGGGGCCTCCATCGGCCCCCAGGGAATGAGAATTAACAGAGAGCACCTGCCACCCCTGCCCCGCCACTCCCTTCTGTCCCCTGGCACAGCAGGGCACGGAGTTCACTCTGCAAGGAGCGGGGGAGTGGCAGTGGGTTGCCTGAGGAGGTTGGCCTGTCCACGGGTGCTGCGGCCAAGTGGCCTGGGGCCTGCAGAGCCTCGCAGTGGCACTAGGTGGCACTCCCGCCCAGGGGAGTCCAAAGAAGGTGGGAGGACTAGAAATTAAGGACCAAGTGTGGGTGGCCGGAAGGGACCTCATTTGGGCTGGGAGAGTAAACCTTCCAAGGGGTTTTTTCTTACTCCCAGAAATCATGTTGAGTATTGTCTGGAATATTGTCCAGAAGGCATTTCCCTCCTGAGATATACGTGGTGGAGGGCAGGTTAGAAGGCTGGGTGGGCTAATCTCAGGGCAGACCTGTGGGCTGGTTTATGAGTTTCCTAGACACCAGTCAGCCTGAGAGGCTCTGAATGATTACAGAGGAGTTCTGGTCCATGTGGAGCGGCCTAGTTGGTCATTTTACAGTGGAGAGCATCAGCGCTCCACAGGCCGCTCAGCGAATAAGAATCTGGGCTTTTGATCCAGACTTGTTTTTCCCCCTTAGGTCTAACTTCGGTCCTGCTGGATGCACTGCAGGCTTTGGGGAAGTCAGGACGGTCTTCCTGGATTTCTGGTTCTGGAATTTAGTGTTGCTAAGATTGTGTGTCTGCATCTTCCTGTGCTTTAACTCCTTTTTATTCCATCTCAAGTGGTGGTTGGTTGGTTGGAGCTCTGAGGTGAGCAGGGGTCTAAAGTCTCGCTGGGGCTCCGAGAATGCTGTGAGCCCAGGCTAGGAGGCTGAGGTGGGCTGTGCACCTCCCTGCCTCCCAGTTCCTACTGGCGTCCCAAGGATCCCTCCAGCTTGTTATGGAGCACTTGGTTGGGCTGGATCCAGATGAGGGGGCAGGTGTGTGGGGCTGTGTCTGCATGTTGCTGTGTCCTCTTCCAGGCTGCCTTGGCTGAGCTGCCCATCTCTTCACAAGCCCTGTCAGCTCTCTTCCTGGTCTAAATGTTGCTTTAGAAACTAAATTCCCAGTGGTCAAAAGAAGCTGGGGTTGTTCAGCTAATCAGGCTCCTGAATTCCACATGCTTTTTGTGGTTGAGTAGTGGTGGTGTTCCCCGCTGGACCCTCCCCCTCCCCTAAAAAGTGTTAAGCTGGTTCATTCCATCCCACGTTGACTGCTTTCAGTGGGCATGGGGGTAGGGTGCTGACCCTGCAGTGGGGTACCATCTAGTGGGGTAGAAAGATAAGGTGAGAATCACCCCACAGGTCTTGATCCCCGCTAGGAAGCCTACGTGCTGGGCGGGGGTGGACCTTGCCCACTGGGTCTTGTTTGCTGGTCTGCACCAGGGGATTTTGTGTGTCAGGGTGTGTCTGCCTGGAGGAGAGGGGGTGGGGTGAGGAGCAGCCTTTGTCTTCAGGGTCGGGTGTATGAAGGAGCGAGGGCTTTGAGGGCTAGAAAAGGTGTCTGGAGGTGGCTTTGTGTTCAGTCTAGAGAAGCCGGCCCTCGGGTGAGGTCCGCAGCACGTGGAGGCCCTGGCTGCCCGGATGGGTGTGTGGGAGGCGCTCACGGCCCAGGGAGCCCAGCCCCGCCCTCAGGAGGCACCCGCGAAGTCCTGTGGCCGTCGGCCGGTCGGCCGGTCGCCTGTTCCCGCCGCTCCCCTGGCCCCGCCCCTTCCCTTAAAGGAACCCCAGGCTGGGGGGCGGGGCGCGGCTGACTAGCGAGCCTGGTGTCCGGTCTCCTGCCGCTGCCCCTGACTGGGTGGAGCCGAGCCCCCGCACGCAGTCAGGCTTCCGAGGAGCGAGGAGCGGCGCCTCCCTGCAAGTTCAGCCGGTGCGCGGTGCCGCGGAAGCCAGCGGAGCGGACCACCTGCTGGTGAGTGAGCGGCCGCGGCCGAGCCGCCCCGCGCAAGCGGAAGGCCTGCTCGCGTAGCCGGGAGGCCGGTCGCCCCTCACCGCTTGGGGCCTGAGGAGCCCACCCCCCAACCCCGATCGAGTGTGGCTTCCCTGGCCCCGCACGGTGGGTCACGGGGCCGGGCAGGATGAGCTCACTTCCTTCGCGTCGTGTAGCATCTCCTTGCCTCCCGGCCCGGAAAAGGGAAATGTGGGCGTTGCGGGCGGCTCCATGTCCTCCTGCGCCCATTTCCTCAGTTCTGCCCGAAGGGTCTGGGACGGGCGCCAGAGGGGGAGGGAAGCAGCAGTGTTCCTCGGTGGGACCCGGACATGCTGCAGTTGTCACCATGTACCAGCCAAGGGGCAGGAGGAGGTGACACCCCGCCCTTCCCAGGACCCCGTTCCCCGCTAGTGCCAAGGATTGCCCCAGAGAAGGTTCCTTTCCTTCAGGGGATTTAAGAAAGAGTCCTGCCGAGTCCTGTCCCCATCTCTACCGCCCTTGAAAGAGGTGCCTCTGGACCCTTCTCTCTGCTTCCTCTTCTCTCGCCCAAGGCTTCCCCAAGATGGCTCACCCGTTTCACCTGGGAGAATCCATTTTCCTGGTTCCCTACTTCTGACATTTTGTCAGCTTCTAGCCTTGGAACTCAGGGGAGGAATGGTTGGTGGCCCCACCTGGACACAGCTACCCAGCAGCCCTGCCCTCCAGAGCTGGGAGTGTGCACAGCAAGTCAGGCTGGGGACACATGTTTTGGGGGGCACTGGGGGTTTCTGCTGAGGCTTCAGGCCAGGTAACTGGCACCCGGTGAGCTTTCCACTCAGGGAGCAGGAGCACGTCCTTGGGCTCTCGGGCTGGACACGTGCAGGGTTGCAAGGCCTTCATCTAGGGCAGTGAGGGGTGGGTGGGGATGTTGCAGCACCTCTGGGGTGTGAACCCCCAGAACAGCATGCCCTGACAAAGGTGAGCTCCCCCCAGCATGGTCCTGTTGAGCCATCCCTTCCTACTCACATCATCGCTGCCCCTGTGGTTTGGGCTCCTCTGTCAGAACTGCCTCCTCTGTCCTGTTCCTTCCATCTTCCCAGTGGTAGCAAACTTCTGTCCTCCCAGAGCGTGGGTTTGGAAAGGGAGGGGAGGCATTGGGAGCCAGGTCTGGGGGGTGAGGCTGCACTAAGCTCTTGGATGGAAGAGAGGCATGGGGTTTCTAAGCAGAGTTGTTATTGGCCTTGGTCACAGCTTTGATCTGAGACTCAGGACGGGTGAGCAGGAGGAAGGACCCTTCCCATTTCCAGATGAGGAAACTGAGACTCAGAGAGCACATGTGACTTGCAAGGCCTTTCCCAGCTCTCAGGGCGAGGGTGGGGGGAAGGCATCCAGGATCACAGTAACCAGATTGTCCTTGCCCGCCACCAAAGCCTCTGTGTTCTCATGTTCCATATGGCCATGTAATGACTTTAAAGTCCTACTGGTCATAGCCCCAAACTCACCTCCACAGAGTGTCCTTGAGACTCTCAGGAGAGAGGGAAGGGGTCTGTACTTCTCTGCTTCAGGGCGCTCTCCTTGCAGGCTCCTCCTTCAGGCCTGAACTCCCCAAGTTGCTCTCAGGGAACCAGAAAGGGAGAAAGCTCTAGCTTGGCCTCCAAAGGCCACTGTAGGCGCAGAGGGCAAGTGGGGCTCTGAGATGGGGATGCTGGGAGCACCGTTGGTTGAGGAAGTGGCTCTGCTCCTGGGAAGTGAGAAGGGGTGGCCACTAGGGACCCCCTTCCCTCCGTCCTGCGGCTCTGAGCTAGTCATAGGGTGTTGGCCTGTTTCCTGGTGGACAGCTGAATTCATGTCAGCTTGCTGGGGGCCTTTTGGGGAACACTGGTGATTTAAAAGAAACCTGACCCTGGTCTCAGTGTCCCATTTTAGAAGAGGAAGTAGAGTAGTGACGGAGACAGGACTGAGGCGTGAAGACCTCCTGCCCAACTTCTCAGGGCAGTTCCTGGAGTCTCTCCAGGATAGCAGCTCCTTGGACTGGTCCCCCAGAGTCCCCTCCACTGCCCTGGTGGGCTGTGTGGCCCGGTCAGGCCCCTGGACTGGAGGCCTTGGGGGAGAATGCAATGCAAAGGCACACACGGGGGATCTGCTTTGAGGTCCTGAGGTCTTGGGCCAAGCTGGGTTTGTCTGTGGCTTCCTGAATGTGCCTTTCTGACAACATCCTGCAGCGGTCAAGGTCCCACTGTGGAAAACTGGCAGGAGGAGGCCTGGCTCCCATTCCCGCCCACAAGGCGTCGCCAGCCCCCACTGTGAATCCCGGGCGTGCGAGCAGCCCAAGCTTTCTAGAGTTTCTAGAGTCGGGGAGAGAGCCTTGTTCTGGAGCCTAGCTTCAGGCGCAAACCTGACTGCCCATCACCCCGCTGGGCCTGTTTCCTGGGGAGCCGCCGGGAGGCGAGTTTGGGGCCCGAGGCTGGGAGGGTGGGGCAGGGCTGTGCTTGGCAGGTGGGTGGGGCTGTGCTTGGCAGGTGGGCTGTAGGAAGGGAGTTAGTGGGACCTCAGCTCGAGCCTGGCCAGGCAAAAGCCAGAGTGTCCATGGGGCCTTGGGCAGGAGGAGGCCTGTGCGGGCACCCTCCTGCCATTCAACGGCCATTCAGCGAGGTGGCTAGCCTGGGGAGATGAGCTTGCCGAGGGGTCCTGGTCTGAGGTGGGGTGGGCCTTGGCAGGGGTGGAAATCCATGCTAACGTCCAAACCTTAGTCAGCCTCATCCAGCCCCACGGCCACTCACACTTAGAGATCTGGCAGGTGTCAGGCTGGCGGTTTTCACCTCCTTGGCTGAGGTGGGTTTGCCCAGGACCTCAGAAGTTCAGCCCGTGAGGGTCGAGCTATGTCCGAGTTGGGGCCTCCTGTTCGGTCTTCGCGCGGGGGCCTGGGCCGGGTCAGTTCTCTGCCTTTGGAGCAGCCCTGGGACCCCGCATGTCTTCATCTAAAGACGACGTGGGGCGCGTGGTTTGGGGGCTGCGCTGGGCGGGGCTGTGACTCCCAGGCTGCAGAATGTTTGCTCTCCCCCTGCCTGTGATCTGCAGAGGCTGGGCATCCTCTCAGGGAGCTGGGCGGCCGCGGACCAAAGTGCTGTTCCTCCCGAGAGAGATGGGAAGGCGGGGTGGCCGGTTTCCCTGAGGTTGCCCTGGTGCCCCTCTTCAGAGGAGGCAGGTATGGGGGACCCTGAGGCAGGGGCTGGGGACGACGACGAGGACAGAGCCGGAGCAGGCCAGATGCTGGGGTCTCACCGCCGCGCCTCTCCCGCCTTCCTGCGCCCTCATCCCTCAGATGCTACTTTGTCATCTGAAAGGAAAATGGGTCAGGTCCCAGCGAGGGAGGGGCCGCCGGGGCCGCAGACAGGCCGACGCTGGGCGCCCGCCTGGAGCGCGGGGCTCAGATTCCCGCTTGTGCTCCTGGGTTCAGAGGCGCCGGGTCCCCTCCCTGCTGGGAGCAGGCAGGCAGCCAGGCCAGGGACAGAACGGGCCGAGGGCGGGGCCGGTGCGCAGGCCGAGCAGGTGTGTGATCGGTGCCTGTCTCTGCAACAGCCCTGATCCGTTGGACTGGACCTAGCCAGGGAGCGGTCCCCCAGCCGCAGCCGCCGGGGCAAGGAGCGGTGACAGCGCAGGAGCTCCGGGGGGGAAGGGAGGAAGGAGGAGAGACAAAGGGAGCGAGCCTGGCACTGCCTCCCTGCGCCGCCCACCATGTGTCAGTCAGAGGCGCGGCGAGGACCGGAGCTCCGCGCGGCAAAATGGTGAGATGCTGCGGGTCACGGCTGCGTCCTAACCTGGCCTCACCCCGCCTTGACCTCCGAAAGGTCAGAGTTCACGTCCAGCGGCCCCGTGGTGGAGGTGGTGGCGGCGGCAGGGGGCCGGGGTACCAGCCCCCGCGGCTGGAGGGGCCCGGCCCGGGGGACCTGAGTCGGAGAGCCCGTTTCAGGTACTGGGGGGCCAGCAGGCTGGTGGGCCAGTGTCTGCACTGCGCCCCCACCCCGCTGCAGCGCAGCTCCTCCGAGATTGGTCCCTGTACTTCTGCAGAGAGCAAGGTGGATGGGGGGAGCCCAGGGCAGAGCAGTGATGTGTCAGGCTTTGCTTGGCCCCTACCCACTTGCCAGACCTTTTTAAAGCTGGAGGGGATGGGATGGGAGAGACAGTGTACACAGGGGGTCTGGTGAGCAGTGGAGAAGCAGCGCCTCCCAGGGCCACCATTGAGCTGCAGGGCCTGGCCTTCGGCTCAGTTCTCCATTTTTTTCTGCTTTTCATATCAGCTGAGGTGCCTCTTTGTTCCTTGGTTTGTTGAGCAATTGGGGGCAGAGGACAGAGCTGCTCTGAGAGCACACAGGCACAGATGGAGCCTTATTCTCCAGTTGAACGCAGTGTTTCTGTAGATGAGGAAACCAAAGCCCCGGGACATTCTCAGAGTGGGTAGCAGTGTGGTCTTGTGATGGCCACACTGGGGCCTCAGGAGCACTTTCTAGGTCCTAGGCATGTGGCAAGGTGACTTGGGCCTCAGTGTCATGCCTCAGGAGGGCCAGGGTTCCGGTGGAAAGGCTCATCCCAGAGTCTGGCTCCCTCGAAGCTGAGCCTGGCTTAATGCGCTGAATTTGAGCTGGTGGGGTCTGGGGAAGGCCCACCTACCTTTATCGGAAGGAGGGGCCTGGGTCAGGTGTATGTGGCCCCAGCAGACCTGGAAGGTGGCCTGAGGGTTGGCGGGGAGCTTATCCCCACCAACCTCTGGATCGTTTTGGAGAACCTGACCTGATGCAGAAAGAGCACGGGGATGGATGGAGCAGTAGCGTGCGTGTGTGTGTGTGTGTGTGTCTCTCTGTGTGTGTGTACACGCGCACTAGTGCTTGTGCATGTTTGTGTGTTCCTTCGTGATCTTGTCAGGCCCCTCAAATGAGGAAATAAGATGCTTGGAGCCATGAAGAGATTTTCCCAGACCCTGCGCTGCCAGGGGCTAAGGGGGATCAGACTAGCTCTCCTTGGAGCCTGTGTGGGCAGAGCTGGCCCCAGGCCAGTAGGGGGCCGCAAGGCAGGTTCTGCACTATCTTCCTGGTGCACTCAGCCCCAAGGTCCTCTCCGGGGTCCCTGCCAGGTTCAGAAGCTACTCCATCTGAGAGGCGCCTCACCCTGTGTGTCTCAGCTGACAGGCAGGTGGGGAGACTGGGAAGTGAGTCTGCCGACCAGAGGCAGCCAAGCCCCCACCTCAGAGTGGGGTTGGGATGAAGGAGTTTGGCCGGTGCTGCCCGACTCCATCGAGAGGCGAACCTGCTGAGGGTGAGGTGGGGCCCCCAGTCCTCCACTGACCCTGGCTGTGTGCGGACATGTGCCCTGCAGGTTGTACTTCCCCCAGCTGGCCCTGAGGCGAAGGCTGGGACAGCTGAGCTGCATGTCCAAACCCGCCTTGAAACTGCGCTCCTGGCCCCTGACGGTCCTCTACTACCTCCTGCCCCTTGGCGCCCTCAGGCCACTCAGCCGGGTGGGATGGAGACCCGTGAGCAGGGTAAGTGTGCAGGGGCTGCTGGCCTGGCCTCCCCCCAGGCAGGCCTGAGGTTGGGGCCCAGGAGACCAAGGAGGAGAAGACATTTGTCAGAACAGAGGTGGTGCTGTGGGGCCTGAGCGCTCCAGCAGGGTCACATTGGAAGGCGAGCCTGTGGAGAGGGTGGGCTGCAGACAGGTGACTGTAACGGCCCACCGTCCACTGCCTGCTGTCTCTGCCTGCATTTCTGCCATGTGGGGACTCTGCTTCTGGAAAGAACCCACATTGGGCATTCAGAAAATGGTGCCTGAAAAGAGCTTAGGGGTGATTTTGAGAAGAATCCAAATTAATTTCTGGACGCCAGAGGGTGGTTCAGGGAGGCTGGAGCCTGTGTGGGCCCCTTTGGGTGAGGATGCCTTTGAGGACCCAGGAGCCCCAGGCAGGGCTGCGTGAGGGAACGGCCTGGCTGCACCTGGCTCTCAGGCAAGCTGGCCCCAAGGAAGAAACCCTGCTCCCAGGCCCTTGGACAGCGCAGGTGGGCGTTGCCAGGGCTTGAAAGCTCAGGGGCACCTCTGGGCATTAGGCCTGGGGTCATAGGGCAGCCCTGGGCTTCCCCCGCAGATGGGCGTCAGCTGGGAGTGCTGGGAGCCGCTAACTTACTGCCTCTTTAAAGGTGTTTAAAGTTGGAGTGGAATTGCTTTTATGCTTTGGGGACTTGGTGTCTTGGTTGTGTTCAGCAAGCAGCAGCCACCAATTAGAAGCACGTCCCACTATGGCAGAGGCACTTGAGGTTTAAGAGGCTGCCCCTTCTGGGTCATCTGGCCCTGAGTTTGGCAGGAGGGTCTGACTGAGAGGCCGAGTCCCCTGTGCCTCCTGGAGGAGCACCAGGTGGGGACAGCTGTGTGGACAGGTGGGCTTGGCGGGCATGTCCAGGCCCTCGGAGCGCAGGTGTCAGTGGTCAACCCGTCTGCATGAGAGTCCCCAACCTCGGGGTGGGGGGCGATGAGCACATGTGCTTTGGGCTGTGGACTTGCCCACGCACCAGAGGCCTGTCCTTTCTGTGCTGGTCTGGGACTCGGGCAGTAGTGCCCGCGCCACAGCCTGTGTGACTGTGTCAGATCTGTTTGCCCCTCCCCACCTCAAGAAGTGAGGCTGTGTTGGCCAGTCTCCCCGGGGACTGGGGAGGGAGTGGGGTAGCTGCTGTGGGAAGTCTGCAGGAAATGGCTGACAGCTGAGCTGTAAGTCACTGTGTCACAGGCCTGGCCAGTACTGTGTGTGAGAGATGAGAGATTTGGAAGCTCAGTCTGGTTCCTGGTGAGAGACAACCATGTCACAAAACCCTCGTGGGGACAAGCTGCTCAGGCCTCGGGAGGTGGCCCCCATGGGGAGGGGAGAGGGTACCGGCTGATGGGGAGGAGGGGGGTTGGGGGGTGAGCACACGGTGTGGCTGACTCACCCACCTGCCCGCGGCCTGCAGGTGGCCCTGTACAAGTCGGTGCCGACGCGCTTGCTATCGCGGGCTTGGGGCCGCCTCAACCAAGTGGAGCTGCCGCACTGGTTGCGCAGGCCCGTCTACAGCCTGTACATCTGGACTTTCGGGGTTAACATGAAGGAGGCCGCCGTGGAGGACCTGCACCACTACCGCAACCTCAGCGAGTTCTTCCGGCGCAAGCTGAAGCCACAGGCCCGGCCAGTGTGCGGCCTGCACAGCGTGGTGAGGCCCCAACCCCACCTTCTACTCTTGCCTCCGTACAGGCAGCTCTTGGCTGTACCTTTAGGAAGAGGTGGGCTGGTGGGCACTCCTCCCAGGCCAAACCCCAAGAAGGAGGTGGCCCTGCCCTCTGCCCCCTCCCCTCCCCCACAGCGAGCCTCTCCTGGCCCTTCCAGATCAGTCCATCGGATGGGAAGATTCTCAACTTCGGGCAGGTGAAGAACTGCGAGGTGGAGCAGGTGAAGGGGGTCACCTACTCACTGGAGTCGTTCCTGGGCCCTCGCATCCCCGCAGAGGACCTGCCCTTCCCACCAGGTGGGTCCTGGCCTGGTGGCGGCCAGGCAGCTGTGCTGTGGCTGCGCTGGATGTCAGAGGGTAGAGGGTGGGGATGGGAGTGGGTCCGGGAGGGAGGCCTGTGGACCAGTAGTTACTCTGCCCGCAGCTTCAGGCCTCCCTGGAGCCAGTGTCCAGGCTGCACGCAGGCTCCGTGTTGGGTAGCATCAAGTGCTTGTCTGAGCGCCTGGTTCGTGTCTGCCCCACAGCCACCTCCTGTGGCTCCTTCAGGAGCCAGCTGGTCACCCGAGAAGGGAACGAGCTCTACCACTGCGTCATCTACCTGGCCCCCGGGGACTACCACTGCTTCCATTCCCCCACTGACTGGACTGTCTCCCACCGGCGCCACTTCCCAGGTAGGCCTGGGCCAGCACATGGGTGGGACCTGCCCCTGGGGGACTCAGAGAGGTCCTCAGCTTCTTGGTATCAGGAGACGCAGGCTCCAAAGCTGTGAGGTGACTGCTGGGCATGGGTGGCAGGGGCAGGCTGGGAGCCAGCCTGCTCTGCATTTGGAATGACATGGGGGTACAGTGGGTCTTGGGCCCTCCCAGAGTAGACACACTGGGCTCTAGGAGGCTTGTCCTCCCGATGGGCAGGGAGTGGCAGTGTCTGTCCCCACAGGCTCCCTGATGTCCGTGAACCCCGGCATGGCCCGCTGGATCAAAGAGCTCTTCTGCCACAATGAGCGGGTAGTCCTGACTGGGGACTGGAAACACGGCTTCTTCTCACTGACGGCTGTTGGGGCCACCAACGTGGGCTCCATCCGCATCTACTTTGACCGGGTAAGCAGAGCCCAGACCCTGCCGAAGCCCAAGGGCTAGGCCACTTGCACCGTCTCCTGTGTAGCCAGATCCATCTGGACTGTAAGTTCTAGGAGGGCACATCCCCCACCAGGCCTGGCTGTGCAGAGCAGCTGCCCTGAGGAGGGGCTGGGCCCTGAGCTCCTGCTCTGCTTATCCCCCACCCACCCCTGTCTCGAGGTGGCTGGTGAGGGAGGGAATTAACTTCCCTTCCTGGCACTTTGCTTCTGCAGAAACCCAAGGGGAACTTGGGTGGGGCATGCTGATGGAGGCCAAGTGTGTGAGGGGTGCCGTAGTACCCATGCCTGCGGGGCTTCCCCTCTTGGTGTCAGTTTGCCCCTCAGCCCCCCGGGTGCTGGTGTTGTGGCACCGTTCGTACTAGTGAACAGTTGGGGGTCTGAATCCTCCATTTCCCTCCAGTTCAGAGCTGGTCAGGGGCTATCAGGTTAGGCCTAGTCCATGGCCTGAGCTGCTGTCCGGACCTCCCTTTCTGAGCAGGGTGGGGGACAGGTTCGGGACGGCAGCAGAGGTGTGTTCAAGGTCCACGTGCTCTGCCTCCACCTCCCACAGGACCTGCACACAAACAGCCCACGGTACAGCAAGGGCTCCTACAATGACTTCAGCTTCGTGACGCACATGAACAAGGAGGGCATCACCATGCGCAAGGGTGAGCACCTGGGCGAGTTCAACCTGGGCTCCACCATTGTGCTCATCTTCGAGGCCCCCAAGGACTTCAACTTCAAGCTGAAAGCGGGACAGAAAATCCGATTCGGGGAGGCTCTGGGCTCTCTCTAGAGCCTCTTTCATGGCTACAGCTGCTGAGGGGTCTTTTCCACAGAAATGTGAGGTTTCAAGGGGGACCTCTGAGGCTATCTAGGGAGGGGACCATCGGGTCTGACCAGGCAGGACCTGGGTGACTTCTGTCCCTGCTGTCCAGGGTGCAGACAAGGTTGTCAGAGCCCCTCTCATGTCCTAGACCTACATCTTCCCCCTCCCGACCTGAAGAGAAAGTGCAGGCCAGGACGATTGATTCCCTCTTGGAGATTTTCTAACGTGTTGTATAAACTGGAGATTCTACATCTCCTGGCTGAGCATTCAGTTGTTCTGATTTCCGTTTTAAGATAAGTGGTAGTTAAAGTACCTTCTTGCTGCTCCTCCTATCACTGCTTTTTGGCCTCCCTTGCATGGGGCGAGGTCCCTCCTGGCACTGACTGTGGGTCCCAGACCAGGGCCTTTAATGCAACTGCTCCCAACCTGCTTGTTGGGAAAAGCTGTCTTCTCTCTTTGCACTTATGGCTGAATGCATCACCTCCGACTCTGCCATCAGCTTCCGAGGGTGCTCACTAATGGTTCGGGGCGTTGCAGGCCCCGATGAGTGACCTTCTGGAGCTGGCAGGTCCTCTTTCCAGTAGGCAGGACCCATCACCAAACCCCCTCAGTGGTGTCCAAAGCAAAAGGGGCAGGCAGCTAGCTGGTGGTGGCCCAGCTGGGGCCAGGGGAGAGCCTGGGTCCCGTCCCTGTATCCAGACCTACAGAAAAGTTGCTGCTATTGATCAGGGGCTTATGTTGGAGGCAAAGGAACCTTGGTGGTGTATTTGATGTGTGGGGGAGGGGAGAATGTCAGTGCCTAGAAAACCCGTCCCCAGGCAACAGGTATGCAGTCCTTGGGGAGCCACTGATTGTGGGGACAGGGCCAGATTTCATGTTTCCTGGGGATGCTGTGAATTTCTCCTGCAGGAGAAGCCATTTGAACTTTTTCAACTGTATCAGTAGCACAGTATTTTTGTATGAAAAGTGGGAGACTTCTGAACAGTAATTCATTTTTCATTTAATTGCAACATTTTGAAATAAAAAAACTCGCTGCAGTTTTGCATTCTGTTCCTGGACGTGGGGTGGTGACTAGCACAGAGCCTGCCGCAGGGCATGGATGCGGGCGATACAGGTGCGGATGGGCTGGCGCTGGGCCTGCAACTTGGAGGCCAGCTGCTGGATCTGCGCTTCCACCTGGGGAGGTTGAGGGGGCAGGCTGAGAGGAAGCCCCGTCTGGGAGCCGTCCCGGGGCTGCCCAGGGTCTCACCTCCTGCAGTTCTTCCTGAACCTGCTGCTCTGCTTCCTGGTCCTCGGGCCTGGGCTCCTCCTGGCTCAGCTCCAGCCACTGCCGCAGGCTGCTTGCTTGCCGTTGGCAGGACCTGAGGGAGTAACACACCTGCTGCCTGGCTTGGCCCCAGGCAGAGGCCCAGCACACTTCTGGTGTGGGTGGAGGGAGAAGGGCTCCTGTTCCACCATCAGGCAGAAACGCCCTCTGTCCTCTTCCCTGTGCAGAGCTGGCCGTGTGGGACCTGCCCGCTTCCCCCTCTGATTAAGGTTGCTGCTCACACTGAGGGTCCCAGGCCTGGCCGTGGGGTACGTGGGCTGTGGACCCAGACAAAGCAGGGCGGTTCACTGCATCATCCCGTGTCAGTCACACTCGCCCGGTAGACCACCGGCTTCCACAAGACACAGGTGTAAAGTTTTGCTCAGCTTTTCCTGAAGGTAAGGCCAACCTGGGCCTTCCTGAGCAGGATGGAAGGGGAGAGGTGCCGCCTGCATGCAGGGGCCATTACTGGGCAGACAACTCCCCCTGTTCCCCATGGATGGGTGCCACGCGGGTTTCTGGGTCTCACCTGAGGTTCTGCTTCGTGGTCTGGTAGTCCTGCAGTTGCTGCTGAATGCCCTCAAGCTCGGCCTCCAGGTCCATGTGGCCAGTGGCAATAGGAGAATAAGCTTGATCTTGACCATCCTCCCGTCTGGGCCCAGGCTGAACCCAGGGATTCCAGGTGCCGGGAGTGACCTGAGCACTTGAGGCACTGACAGGCCCCAGGTACACACCTGCAGTGTCAGAGCCAGGCCCAGGCCTGGTGCCTGTGAAGTCCCCAGGAAGGAGCAGATGGGGGTTGGGGACACTGGCCAGGGATGAAGGGGCCTGGGACTTAAGCCCAGGTATCGTCGGCTGGGCTGATGCCTGTAAAGGAAGGATGAACACTGAGCAGGGAAGGAGAAAGGTGGGGAGCTGGGGCTCCCCACACCTGCTGCGGCCAGCTCACCTGGTCCTGCCCCTTCATTCAGCACCTGACACCAATAGAGAGTCCCACGACCACCCAAGCAGCTGTTTCCAGCCTTACTGACCTTTCACACCCACTCCTGCAAGGACCGTGCATTTCAGTGGCAACTGTTTGTGTTCAACCACAGCGACAACCCTCCTCCCTTCCCTCTTGGTGACAATGTCCTCTGGTGGGAATGGACACTCTCCCATCCCCCACCCTCTCCCCACCCCTACTTAGGTCGCAGCTCTTCAGGCACCAGTGCCTTGGGGGGCCCAAGCCCAATGCACACTCGTGCTTCCTCACCTCCTTGCCCGAACTCCTTGACTCCTACGTCACAGGCCCCAGAGTCTCGGCCCCACTCCTCCCCATGACCCCATCAGTTCTTTACCTTCAACCTGTGCTGCGAATTGTTAACTTTGATCTCCAGCCCTGACCTTGTTCCTGAAGGCCAGGCTGAATCTGTTGCGTTACCTCAAATCTGACAGGTTCAAGACACACTTGTGATGCTTCAGCTGCTGGGTTCCCACCCTCCGTCTTCCCTCTCACAGTAAAGAATGCATCACTCCCTGAGCTTTTCAGGCCGGAAACCCAGGAGCCATCCGCAATTCCTTCTTTCCCTCTTATCAGACTCATCAGAGCAAGCCCTACCTAGTCTGCCTCCCACGACATCCACAGCCATCCCCCCAGTCCCAGCCACCAGCACCCTTTGCTGGACCCGAGCACAGCCGCCAACCATCCTCCACAACTTCCTGTTCTTAAAGTCCAGACTTATCACCAGGGCCTGTATGACCCTCCATGATCCACAGTCTCTTCATTCGTCTGCATGCTGGGGTTTCTTTTGTCTCCACCACCATGTAAGTGTCACGAGCAGGGATGGGCCTTGGGGGCTGTTCCCTGCTGTGCCCCTAGGACGCTGGCCCCTACACAGGCCTCCCTGCATCTTCCTGAAGCAATGAGTACTGCTGTGGCTACAGCACCAAGCGCACAAAGGAGAGCACTGGCACGAAGACCAGACCAAAGAACAGGACCCCAGGTAACCAGGGGGACTTACCCAGGTGTGTGCTTCCACCCCACGCAGCATGAAGGAAGAAGGGGGCAACAGCTCCAGGCCTGTACTCGCTGTGGGCGGTGGCTTCAGGCCAGGGGCGCTTGGCAGGGGGCTGCTTGGGTCCAGTGCTGTCTGGGCCTTTGCCAGGAAGGGTGTTGTCAGCGCAAGGCCTATTGGCTGGACCTCGCCTAGGCCATGCTCCCACAGTGCCTCAGGCCTGAGCAGAGGGAAGACAGGAGCTAGTCAGGCATGCTACCCTCCCGAGGAGGACAGAAGGGGGGCCACCGGCCCTAAAGTCCCCAGAATCACACCACCTACCCCTGCGCCCCGAGGGTGCCACACCCCAGGGGCGTCTGGCTCTCAATGGGCTCCAGCAGGAAGCTTGGGCGTCGCGGTTGCTTTCTTGCCCAGCGGGCAGCATTCCTGGGAAGAAACACAGGCTGTTCCTCCAGGCTGCCCAGGGGCTGCTTGGAGCCTGAGACCTCTGTGGGGCGGGGTAATCCAGTCCGACCCCTTCCATCTTACAGGGAGACTGAAGAGAGAAGGAAAGGCTCCGCCCCAGGCACCCTACTGAACTTCTAGTAATTCCAGTGAGCCTGCTGGCGACGTGCTCCACCCATGCTGTCTCACTTGACCCAGGCAACCAGGCTGGAGCAGGCTCAGAGATGGGGCCCTTGTCAGCTACAGCAGCACAGCATGTGGGGATGGGGCGGGGCCAGGTCACAAAAAAGTGGGGTATCCAAGAGGGTACCTGTTTCCTGGCTGTCACGGGAGACGTGGGGAGACTACCAGGTCTTGCGGGGGAGGGGGGCTGCCCAACGGCCCATTCCTTTGCTAAGGAACCGTACATTCTCTCCCATGCTCGGGAGGAACAGAGGCTGTGGTCCCTTTGGTTAGGGCCGAAGAATGGGGGCGCAGGATCCTGTACAGAGGGTTCCGAGTGGCTCGGCCATGACCCTCGGGGCCCAGTGTCATTCCTGTACCATCCAAGCTTTGCCGCAGGTGGAAGCAAGGAGGAAGAGGTGAGGGAAGGGCTACTCACAGCTCCAGGAGTTGGGTGTCCCCAGCGGCCGACGGCAGGCTGTCCAGAGCTCCCCGAAGCCCACAAGGAGCTGTTGTCCTCTTGGTCTCCAGGGAGGCATTGCCAGCCCCAGCAGCAAGGTGGCTGGGAAGGGGACCCTCAAACGTCACTCTCCTGCTGCACACAGTGGACGTAGGGGGCTGAGGCTCCCTGCCCAGGCCCAGCGCCTTCTGCTTCCAGAGCGTGGCACAGCGACGGACCACACGGTGGAGACTGTGGGCCGCCTGCAACCAGCCTCTGGTCAGGTCGTGCTGTGCCTACCCGCTCCCCACAGAAGGGTGGGGGACCCCGGCCCACCTGCACCTGCTGCTGGGCGTGCAGCTGCTGCCGGAAGGCCTTCATGCCCGCTGCAAAGCACAGGAGGCGCGTGACGCCCTCCCGGAGGAGCTGCTGGTGGTAGGCCTGCACTGCCTGCTCCTGCCGCGCCTTCTTTCTCCTCATCTCCAGCACGAAGCCCAGCCATGCAGCCCACACCTCCAGGGAGAGGAGGAGGTGAGGCCCAGCCCTCCTGCTCAGGCTCCCTCCACCGGGGCACGGTCCGCTCCTAGGACAGGGAGACCATTACCTTCGCCTGTAGTGAGAAGGCCCAGAACCACAGGGCCCGCGCCGTGTCCTGCTGCTCCCGCCTCCTGTCCGCCAGCTACGGGCCAGAAAGGAAATGTCTCCTTAGGGAGGCCACCCTGACCCCATGGCCCCCGTCACTCTCCGACCCTCTCTAGTCAGGCCTGCCCTGAGGTGGGGGGGCGGGGAGCGGTGGTGGAAGCTCTTTTGGGAAGGACAAAGGCCAGGAGCTCTGGGGTCGGGAGCAGTGAGGCAGTGCGCCGGGCTCCAGTGAGAAAAGCTAGGACTGCTTGCACTGCGGGCCCGAGGGTGAGAGGGACCTGGCCCATGAAGGGCCACTAAGCAGGACGCAGCCCCACTGGGTATTTTATCAAGGCCTTGGCAAAGACCTAAAATGCATTTCCTATTCACTTCTGGATATTACCCTGACAAATTTTCAACATGACACTGTAGAAACATGGCCCTGAAGTGACTTGGCTTTAAACAGATTCCAAGTGAAGGAAGCTGGTGGTGCCAGGAGGTGGCTGGGGGTGGGGGAACCCTGGGAAGAGGGTGGTATGAGAAATGATGAGCTAGAGGCGGGCTCAGGAGGCAGCAGGAGGAGGGGGAGTGAGAAGGGGCTTCTCCACGGCTCCCACCTGCTGTCTCCACTGGTGGAAGCAGGTCCGGCTGAGTGTCTGGGCCAGGAGTCGGGCAGCCTGTCTCTGCAGAAGCTGGGGACAAAGTGCGCACAGGGGGCTGTGTGCCCGGTGCAGCCAGGTGCCCACACCCGGAGCCCCTGTGGGCGGTGCAGGCTCCAGGCCCAAGTGAACCATCCTCCCACCACCAGGAGTCATTCTGGTTGAAGCCAAGGGCCTCCTGCCCCAGACAGGGGTGCCCAGATGCCTCAGTAGGTCACCCAGCTCTGACAGGCATGGTTCACACTGAACCAAGTTCTTTGCTGAGCCATCTTCCACCCAGAAGGCCGGCTTCCCCAGCCTTCACTGAACACCCAGAAGGGCAGCCTTGCGCCCGCAGGACTCCAACCACCCAGCATCCACAACAGAAGCAGTAAGTGCTTCTGGAAAGACCTTTCCTCCTCGCGATGCGGTC